TGCAATACTTGTGAAAGTCAGAATTGGGGAAGAGAGGAGAGGAAAGATGAAATGCCTTTTTTAAAAGGTTACCCCTTTGAGATTCGGGTTTTGGTAAAACACGATTCATTCCAGGTAATTGTTAATGCTGTATTTTACTTGCAAATTCATTATAAAATGGCTATTCTGCTCAATCAAGGAACATTCTCACATCTGAAGAGTTATATTAAAACAATTCTCTTTTATAGGGAATCTTTAATGGGAGTCTTTCCGTTTATTTGAATGGGAATGGACTAAAACTCTGCTTACTTTTGAATATTAGGCCCTGATGCTGCAACACTTGTGCCCATGTTTAATTTTACACATGTGAGAAGCCCCATTGACTTCAGTGAGACTGCTCAGATGAGTAAAGTTAACCATGCGCATATGTGTTTACAGGATTGCGGCCTTAATCCATTTAGATAATTCAAAGACTAGTCAGTGTTACCTGAGTTCTTAGTCAGTTTCTAGTAAATTTCACTTTTGGGTTCACAGGCACTAGCACAGTGCTGCAGTGTTTTGGTTGCAAAAGCTGCAGGGAAATGTTGGTTTATTTTGAATTGATTTTTGTAAAATAGATTTTTGTAAAACTTCATAGAAATATTTCTATTGTTCTTAGGTTTTGTAGTTTTTTTAAAAATCAAACCTTACATTTTCTTATGGGCATGAGACATTATCCTTTATTCCAAAAGAATAACTTCTGCTTTTTACACATGACAGGTTGCTGTAAATGGAAATCCCTTTGTGCAGTACAAGCACCGAATTCCACTTTCCAAAGTGAACCACCTTAGTGTGTCTGGGGGTGTGGATGTGGCAATCATCAGTTTCCAAGATACTGCTGTAAGTGCCTATTGCATGTATTATTGTGTTTCAGAACCACGAGGGGAAATGGAGAAACTCTAGTATTTGCAGAGATTTGGGGCATGATCCAGTAAGAATCTGAGTACATCCTGTGAGTTGCTGAATATCTCAATCCGGCCTTGTCCCCACTAGTGCTCCCAATGGTGGAGCTTTACCAGTGTTAGACTGACAATGGGGAAAACGCTAGCGTGGACAGAGTGCAGGTATTTTTTTATTGCCATGTCATGCTCCAAGATGATAAAAAGCCAATGCCTGTCTGTGCTAGTGCTTCCAGTTTTGCCAACACAAATGGAACTGCAACTAAGCTAAACCAACAGTGGGAAAAATGCCAGTGAACTGAGTGAGCTCTGAGCTCAGTGTGGGATGAGGATGTTCTGATCCTTTCAGGACTCATTGGGGTACTTGCAGGATTGGGCCGTTGGTTCTTAAACCCAATATTTTACTTGTAAAAAAAATCCTCTGTTGTATTCCCGTATTTACTGAACTGGAGGCAAGCCTTTCAGGGAAATAGTAATGAGTCTACAGACAGACCACCCTATGTTATAAACCCATTAAGTATGAAAAGTCAGGGGACTGGATTCCATGCTCGGATTGGAGACCTACAAGGAACTTGTAGGTGCCTACAAAGAACCAGTGGTGTCGCCGATTCTGATTCTCTCTGAGTCAGTACTAGACCAATGCCCCAGCAGGGGGTTAGAAGAGGCTTCATTCTTTCATGTATTTTTAAGGCCAGAAGGGACCATCAGATCATCCAGTTTGACCTTCTGAATACGACAGGCCATTAGTTGTTACTCAGGACTTCTGTATTAAGTACAAAGACTTTAGTTAGACCATAACATTTTAGTCCTCTGGAAACTAAAATGTGTGTCATGGGAGAAACCAAACTGCCTGTAGTAAAGTGGTCATTAAGGGGTTAACTGGGTTACTCAGAGCAGTGGTTTTCAACCAGTGGTACACGTACTCCCACAGAGATCTTCCAGGGGGGTAAGATCAACTCATCAATTATTTGCCTAGTTTTACAACAGACTATATAAAAAGCACTAGCAGAGTCAGTAGAAAAAAAAATTTCATGCAGACAATGACTTGTTTATCCTGCTCTGTATACTGAAATGTAAGTACTATATTTATATTCCAATTGATTTATTTTATAATTATATGGTAAAAATGAGAAAGTCGTCAATTTTTCAGTAATAGTGTTCTGTGACACGTTTGTATTTTTATGTCTGATTTTGTAAGCAAATAGGTTTTAAGTGAGGTGAAACTTGGGGGTAGACAAGACAAATCAGACTCCTGAAAGGGGTACAGTAGTCTGGAAAGGTTGAGAGCCACTGGCTCAGAGTATTATGGTTTGAGCCATGCTCCACCCTTCCCTCTTTTCCTGTTTCATTAGTGTGTGTTTTTCTCACACACACACAGACAGACAGACAGACAGAGAGTCTGTATATAGTTGAGTAAAGCAGGAAGTTCCCAGCCTGCAGTACTGTAAACAAAGTGTGTTTCTTGTGCACTTGCACTGAGTGGTCCCTTTACAAAACTGTCACCAGTGCCCGAGGCCCTTGCAATGACAGAGAATTATTAGGTGAGATGTGCCTATATGATATCAGCAGGTGAACTACACTCTGTGCTGCAGAGGAAGGCAACTTCCCACCCCTCTGCCCAGGTCCCAGTCAATCGGATCTGGGGGGAAATTCCTTCTCAACTCCAACTCTAGCAATCAATCTGACCTGAGTATGTGAGCAAGAGACAGCAGCCAGGCATTTATAAATGCTGTGCTACTGCAAGAACTGTCTTTCAAATTAGATGTGAAACCTAGGTGCTGACTCCTTCTCTGTGTTAAAGATCCTGGCTCTTCTTGCAAAAGTTAGGGGTGTGAACCCTCCTTTCCTGTCCAGATTCCAATGTAGGTAAATTAATTCTTCCTCCAGGAATTCTCTTTGTACTTTCAGTTGAACACAATATACTTTCTTTGTATCCTCTGCCGTTTTACAGTGTGGCGGTGGTCAGATAAACTGCAGCCATCGGTGTGCTGGTAATTGAGTGCTGGGTGAAGTAATCTGAGGATTGTGTTGTGAAGCTTAACTAGTTAAAGTTTTGAAAGTACTGTGAGATCCATGGATCTGTGCAATTCCCTCGAGAAGTATGCAGTGTTATGTGTAATATCAGTTTCTTGCAGAGATGTACTTACAACTAAGGGTATCTTGTGGATAATTGTCCAGATTATTTGATTTGTATAACATCTGCGATGTTTCCTGTTTTCTGGGGTGAGGGTGGGGCTGGGGGGAAATATAAATGACTTAGGAGAATAAAAAAAAACCCTCTAGATTCTAGTAATTAAGAAACACACTTTTATAATAAGATTTTCCATGCCCAGAGCAAACTATAACCATGCACAATGACATAAATATTTCATAATCTAGTATTTGACATATATTTAATCCTTCACAAAGATCTCTGGGATAGTTAGTATTTAATATACAGTGATTGTCTTATTGAATCAAATTTTACAGGTGCATTTGAGCATTCTTAATTTGTAACCTAACTGAAAAACTAAAGCCCCTCATTGTTTTCCCATATTATGATTCCTGTTTCTTTGCAATAATCCTACTGTTGTGTATAGATTTCCCCTCACTGATGTTTGAGCAAAAGGGAAGGGACAGAGTCTTCTCACTGCTTTATCTGGTGAATTAGACATTGGGCTGAATCAAGTACCACAATAACTGGGTGTAATTCTGAGGAACTTTAATGAATGCTAAATTTTCCATACTCCAGGGCTGCCCTTGGCTCATGGCCTTTAATCTCTTTCCCCACTGATTCTCCATTGCAGATCCTGGTTTACTTTTGATGCATTGGGCAAGGAACTCATCTGAGGATTCAGGGAAAGAGTGCAGGATCTGGTTCAAATCTAGTTTTTTAAGTCAAGGTTGAAATAATTTTGATTGTGCAATCTAGTCTAGTGAACACTGGGGCTACCGAACAGAACTAGCTCACTATTTGACACACATTGAAGATTCTAGCAGTGAATTAAAAGGACTATTACAGGAATACTGAGGAAACTTTCATGGTATTTACCCCCACACCTGTCTGCTACCAGTGCTGTCACCATTAGTTTGGAATAATAACGGCTGGAAAATTCATGACCATATATGTATAAAATACAATTTTTTTTTAAAGAATCATCAATTTAAACAGAAATATTTAGGGGAAGAAGAGCAGGATTGAGAATGCAATTCCAGCATGTTCTCTGGGAGGGTGCGTGTCATCACTAGTGTGGAAATCTGTTGCTTAGAGTGTCTAAACATGTCCAACATATCTTACCCTAACAATCTGTCTAGTTCATGTAACTGTTTCTGCATCAGTACTTTTAATAGTAAATATTCATGGTTTAATGAGAAGGCAATTGTAAGTATTACCTTTGTTGATAACACGGGGGAATTGAATCACAAACAGAAGCCCTGATACAGCAAAGCTCTGAAGCACGTGCGTCACTTCACATCAATGGGATATAAGCATATGCTTAAGCACCCTTCCTAAACAGGGTTGCTTTCTTGAATTTGGGCCAGATGAGGGCCATATTTGCTCACGTTGGGGAGCACCGTACCTTACTCCATGCGTACTCCCAGTTCCCAGAACTCATGGAATAAGCTATTTCTCACTGTGAGTCAGGGTGGCGGAATCTGGCCCTTTGACATTTGCCCAGGCTTGCGTATCAAGCTCGTGGAAGAGTGTGTACCCAGGTCTCCTGACTCCCAGATGGGTGCTGGAATCACTAGACCACATTGCTTCTGTCAGATGATTTTGCCATTGGACTAATTTTTCTTTTTCATAACATTTAGCCCCCAGGTGCTTGGAGTGCTAGAGAAGCTGGGATCGTAAGTGTTTAATCTAACTTCCTTTTTTGCACGTTGTTCCTTTTGTTGGCTTGTATCTGAGCCAATCTGACAAGCTATATTTATTTCTTCTCCTCACAAAAAATCCGAAGCAAGAATTGTTCAGTAGCCACAGGATTCTGAGTAATTTTATCAGAAAGAAACATATTGTCAGAGCATGCAAAGATAATAATGGCAGTATGCCAAAGGAGAGAAAAAAATATTACTGTCTGGGCTTTCTTCATGACGTTTTCAGGGTTAATTTGTATAGTCACAAAGATTCACTTAAAGTCTGTGTTGCTAGTGCCTCCTAGTGGCTATTCTTTTATTTGTTAAGTACCAAGGTTGTCTTTTGCTTTTCAGACCAGTGCAGCTTTCCCACCTACACAGTTCGCTCCTGGATCAACATACAGTGTGAGTTCAAGTGATGCTGAATCCATTTGTATTAAATTAAGGGAAAATGTTCTGCTTGGTTCAGTGGGC